GTCTTCTTCATCCTGACTCCAAATTGCGAAGGTGTCATCCACAAATCGGAACCAGACTGTTGGGGTAATGGGTGCGGTTTCCACGGCCACACAGCCCGGAAGACCCACACCAGCCATCGTATGCCGGCCGTGAAAGCCTTCGACAATACATTAATTTTCACTGATTTCAAACAGTTACAAAATATGAAGCATTTGGGAATCCTAGTCTTATTTTTCAAGGGAAGCTTAGTTTTCTTATTTACATTCTAGTTTTTTTTAACATGAGCCAAGTGATCATTATCTTTGAAGATTTCCAGATTTTTTTTATTGTTTAAATGTCTAGTTAACTTTATACAATATAAAGTTATGTATTTAACTTGTATGATTATTGACTCCAGGGAATGTAGTTTTATTGATTTTGTGCCATCAAGTTGGTGTTCCCTCTTAGCAGCCATTCTTTCAGGTCTTCCAACAGTGCACCCATTACCACTATAACTGAGTCCATCTAGCTTGCTGTTGGTCATCTTGTTTTTCCTTCCACCTTTCCCAGCATTAGAACCTTCTCCAAAAAGCTTGGTCTTTGCATAATGTGTCTGAAGTAGGATAATTTGAGTGTGGTCATTTGTGTCCTGAGTGAAGATTCTGGGTTGATTTGTTCGATGATCCATTTGTTTGTTTTCTTGGCTGTCCATGGTACATTTAGGGGCCTCCTCCAACACCAAAGTTCAAAAGTGTCAATACTTTTTCTATCCTGCTTCTTCAGAATCCAGCTTTTGCTTCCATAGAGCATCACAAGGAATACCATTGCTTGCACTGTTCATAGATACATCACAGCATCTGAATATCTTTTCCAAGGCCTTCAGTAGAGAATGTAGAGCTATCATATATGGGATGCAAATATGGATGACTTACTTTCTCTCTTGCTATGTTTGCTAGTTTCCTTGAAATAGTTAGGATAATTGGGGGAGCGGGGGGGGGCAGCTTCAACCTAAATTCTGTTTTTATCTGTATTCTGCAAGTCTTTGGGATGCTCTGGGGTCACTGATAAGAGTTTAGCCTGCCTTTTACTTCCACCCATTACTACTTATTATCAGGATTGTAGGCATTTTAAGATTCGATAGCACACCTTTTCAGATTGAGATACACATGCTATATACAACCAGAAGTATATAATCCAGATAGTAGCCTTCATTTGCTGTAGGTTTCCAAGTATTTGAAATCACCACAAATTGAGGTCATGTATCTTGTTTTTTTTCAAAGAAAGTAAATACACTTGCTTTGATATTTGTTCTATATCTGTCCAGCCTTTTCCTCAGCCTACTTTCCTCAGTGAAATTTAAAGGAGTCTTTATTGTGTGTTATTCTCTAACCATTCCTGGGGATTTATCTTACTAGATTTTTTTTTTTTTGCAAGCCATAGCTACCTGTTTGTTTTTGCATTGTGATTATTAGGAATAGTCTGCTGGAGCAGTTCTAAGAAATTAATGTACTAATAAAAATTTTATCTTCTGTACAGAATGTAGTGTAAAATAAAAGTGTTGCTTACTCTTTGCCTTTGAGCTTATTTTCCCTTCATTACTGAAACACAATGTTATACCTACCCACCAAAAATCTCGAATATGTATAGGTTCTTTATCGATTTCATATATTTTAGTTCACATGTACTGTATGTGTAAACAAGGGTCCTGTTGCATCTTTCTTTTCCTTGTTTAGAATGATTTCCAAAGTTTTGCAGTTAAGTACTGAACTAACATTACAAGACTGTCATCAGATAAAAAGCAGCTTTAGAGATGAGTGCCTTCATAGGATTACAATTTAGATAGGTTTATAGTAGATTGTAAATCAAGACGATATGGAAAAGGGACAAAAATCAAGTCCCATATAAAGAATGTCATAGTAAAAGGAGTAATAGTATTTTCTTATCTAAGCATCATAGTGTAATCATACTACTTTAAACAAATTTGGTGTTAAACAAATTTGCACATAGGACCATCCATGATTATTAGCCCATGATAATTAAACTATAGCTTTATAAACAGAATTTAAGTGAACCCTGCATAATTGATGAATAATAAGGACAAAAAGCATAGTAGGGTTATTGTGTTCATGCCCCAAGTGAGCCCCCAATCATATACTGGGTTATCACTGAAAACAGTGCTGGAGTAGAGGAACAGATGGTCAGATTCAGCAGGGCTACTCATATTTTCCTCTATCAACTTTTTATTTAAAGAGAAAGCAATATGACCAAGACATATTAAGAGACATATTAAGAGACATTTATACATTTCTATAGTAAATGTTTTTACCAATTTATCATCCAGGAACACAGGCGTGTGTCTATGTGTAACATACTATCCTAAAAGAATGTAGTGGGACTAATTATATCCTAATTTTTGTATTTCCTGGCAAAGAAAAAAATAGGTAAATCCAGGTAATAGGGATTTCAACCAGTACTGGAAGAAATGCATTGTAATCCAGCAAGGGAGTCCTAAATGTAAAGAATACTTCTTTGTAATGTTCAGCAAATATGTTGGTTCACTATATCCAACTCCTTGGACACATTACAATTAATAATTTATGGATTATGCTTGCCGCATGATCAGTGCAATAACTGGCTTGAAATAAATGAAGCTTTCTACCTTTCAGTTTATCAGCCATATCAAACCCAACAGGTTAGGAAGGTTAATGTGGCACTTGTTTCAGTAGCTGCTTAACGGGACTGTATCAGGCAAAAATTCAAGTTTTCCAAAGCTAAGACACAACAGCAGAAAGAGTAAGTGATTAGGGAGCTGAAATACTAGCTGTGATTTGACAGAGGATTGATTATGCTTTGCTCCAGCAGCAGTGAGCAATCTTCTCCCATTCACTCTTTGATCTTTCATTGAAAAGCAGTGGGAGATTTTGATTTGTACTTAATCTGGTTGCCAAGTTGATGACTCAAATAATGTACATGTGGAGGGGCAGAGCAACATCAGCTGCTTTTTCACAATGTATCAGTTGTTGGAAGCGGGTTGCACAGAACAGCACCTTACTCAAGAGCACAGGTAGATAACTCCATTTCTCTTAGCCAATTCCTTTTTCTAGCCTTTTGCATACTTTTTTTTTCTGAAGCTCTAAACAATCCCTAGCAAAATCCTAAAGAATGATTCCACATCAAATAGGACTTCATGGTTAAATACTTCAGGCTGCATCCCTTTGGACATAAAATGTAACCAATTAAATGACAAAGTAGAAACACAAAGTGAAAATCACAAGAGGGGGACTGGGCAGGGTGGTGGTAGTGGTGGGATAATACATTTTTGAAAATCACTCTGTTAGAGCCTCTTTATATTTTACATATATTTTGTATATATTTACAGAATATATGAAATATATAGAAATATGGATGCAAAGGTTGTATGTTCTTCAACCTAAAGTTTATTTTAAGACTGCATGAAGGCTGAATTGTTGAGCAACTGACATGGATTGTTTTTTTTCTAACCATTAATATTAATATAGGTCGGTGACATCTGTCAAGTAAATACTCTAGTGCCATTTGCTACAAGATAGTTAATTATTTATTATTATTTGCTAGCTGAGAATAAACTCTAGATATTTAAATTTATATTGCAAATACTAAAACAGATTTAAGTATGACCTTAGCCTTTTGTTCATATTAGTCCCATATATCTTATATATGTACAGAGACATGAGGTAGGTTATGTTAAGAATATTCCAGGGGAAAGAATAAAAATGAAAGGAATGTCAGCATTACAAAGAGAAACCAAATGAAATCTCCTGTAGCAGTACATTTCTGATCAGGTAGAACAAACAGAGCAATTCAAAAGAGTATTATGAGACTAACATTCCAAACTTATACACATTTACTTGTTCCTGCTGATTCCACCAGAAGAAATTTCAAAGTAAAAGTGATAAGCCAACCAAGTACCATTTATTCAGTACAGTGAAGTACAGTTCCAAACAGATGTGTTTAAAGATTGAGATATACATCTGAAAAAATAGTTTTCACAAATATTATACAATTTGTAGAAAATATTTTTTTAATATGTACATACAGATTTCACAGAAGCAGCAATGCCAATATGCTTGTATTTAACTGTTCATAGGCTCCTTGGTTTGTTTATAATCCTGGCTGTTCTTCCAGCAGCTTAGTTTCATAAAATCTAAGCGTACCTATAAAAATGTTTTAAAAAGTAAAAGTTGGATGATGTATACAAGATATTTCAGCAGATAAAATTTGCACAATAAAAGCTCAATCTGGAAGCATGCAGTGTCACAATGAAAGCAACATGGCTTCATTTATTTTCATTGAAATCACCACATAGCCAAAAATCTAATTTGCATCATAATGTGGTCATGTCATCACATTCACAATTATGATCACACAGGAAGACACTCTTAAGAAAACGAGATAAAGTGGTACCCAACATTGCATCAAACAGGGAGTAGGTGAAACAAAGTATGAACATTTGAAAGGCAGAGGGGTTGGGGTACCGCTCTGGTCACTTATAGATGGCAAGTTTATGCTCTGGGTTAAATGCTAACAAGTAATGTTTCTTCCATATTTCCTGAAAAGAGACAGTATTAGATGTTTACTTATAAATATTAAAATAGAGATCATTTTAACAAGGCAACAATTACTATGAATCAAAGCTGAAGGCACTTCTTACCTAAAGAATGGATTCTTTAAATCAAGTACATTCCCTGATTTAAAGCCTGTTTCATCCACTATGGCAACAATCTGAATGTCATAACTCTGCCTGTGTCATAAATAGGAAATACAGTTTAACATACGCAACTGGATATTTAATATTTATTAAACAATAAATGGGGTGATACTCTTGTTTTGATCATTTGACCCTAGAATGAAATTACTGTTTTATGGGAAGGATTAACACATTCTCCAGAACTATTTCTCATAAAAAAATATAGCATTACTGAATTTTGGAGTGGGGGCTTTCCAAAACAGATACATTGCTGGAAAAGAAGCACTTAGGTTCTATCATGGGTTTATGCCACTACAAAAACAAAGAGGCTGAACATTGGAATGGGTCTATTAATATAACTGTATTTGTCTTCAAAATATATATTTTTGAAACTCTTCAGAAGCAACCTTTTGAAAAATGAGCTTGCCCATCATTAATGCATAACATTAGCAGTAATGTTGTAAATAATGTTAAGATAAAATTGAACTATTAAAAGTAAGTCCCTATCTTGTGTACCTAGCAATCTAGACAAATTAATTAGTTCTATCTTTGCTCTAGAAGTTTAAAAAATAACATCTTTTTAATAGTAACATAAGTAACATTCTGGAAAAGAAAATACTAGGGCTGTGTAGATTTCAAAACTGATTTGAAACAGGTTCAAAACACGCTTTGAAAGCTGTTCTGTTTAGATTTTTTAGGATTCCACATAAGCCTGAAAAACAGATGCTTTAAAGAGTCATATTAAAAATGTGGCTGCTTTTCTGAGTTAGTTCCTTAAACTTGCCATATTTTTTATCAGGCTCATACAGAGGCCTGAAAAAAGATTTTGTTGCCTTAAAAAGTAATTGCAAAGAGTGGTTGCCTAATTTCTGAAGTAGTTTTTCCAAATCATTTTGGAAACATGAACATCTGATGTGATAATTTAAAAAAAATTTCCCTCAGATTTTGAATGTGCTGTTATTCTGGGCAAATGGAGTTTAAAACCATTTATCAAAAACAACAATTTTGTGAGTGGCCACTATTATAATTAACTCTCCCTGAACTGCAACATTTCTTTTTTTTCTGACTTCACTAATAAAACTTGGCCCACTTGACACACAAAATATGCATATAAAGTCCTCTTTATGCATTTGTTAAAGAGGACTGTAGGCCTGAAAAACCAAGGCCACAGCACATTGTTTTAGAACCTAAGGCACAATAAGCACTGTTCTTTGCTCTAATTACCTCTGGGGAATGTTTTTTCTGGAATCATTATTAATTGCTACAGAAATAGTTTTGTAAACAAGGAGGATTAGAAAAGTAGATAGTTATGCAATGGGGAACACTACTTCACTGAGCCCAGTAAGTTACTGATACTTTTCATCTTTGAAAGGTAGCTCTTGACTGAATATGAGTAATGTTTAAACAGAGTCCTTGGAGCACTAGGAAATGCTAATTGAAATATCTATTTATAGGAATTCTGTATTTCAACGGTTTTTACTAGAATCTCAGATCTGGTCGTCTGTGCACTCGGCAGTTTATTTTTAAAAAGCTAATGGAAGCTGGTGTTTTATTACAAGTGTATAAGCATAAGACAAAGGTAACGAAATGAAGATTGTAATTTTTAAATGCCCTATTTTAAGTGGTCTTGGGTGCCCATTCCAAACGGAAAGGCAGAATACTATATAGGTAAAACAAGCTTCTTAAACACAGCATCCCCAGCAGGTGAGCCTGTGAGTAATCCAGGCTTCCCTTTTTATTTCATTCAAAATTACGGATTATAACGGTTTCTACCCTGGAATTTGTGCCTGAAATTCCAGTTTCAGATTCTCAGTTGGTCCTTTTGGTAGCCATTTTACCAACCAGATAGCTGAATTTGACAACCCTACCAACTTTGGAACTTCAGGCATTTATATGTTTCTTTGAATATGGGGCTCTAAAAGTATAAAGGGCTCTGATTTCAACCCAATCATCACAACTTATGCAAAGTAAAGATACAGACAATATGGAAGCCCCATGAAGCACTCAAGTTCCAATGTGCATATAAACATCTTCCTTGGTACCCATCAGATTTCATGTCCCAACAGAGTTTACACATTTTTAACAGCACTTTTAAATTAAAAGAAAATGGGAAGCTGACATGTTGCAAAGCAGAGTACAGTATTTCTAACACTGCCCCTGGACTCCAAATGGGCATCCATAAGCTTCTTAGAACCTAATTGTCACGGACAGCTGTAATTCAGTGCTTATATGAGAGTGGGCAACCAAAAGGACAAAGCTAAGCAGGCACAATAAGGAGCATCCTGTCAATTGAAAAGGAGGCAGAAGGAGAGGCACTGGTTTTTTGGAAGTGGTTATGTCTTCCATGGCAGCCATTTTATGAGTGGGCAAGCCCTTCAGGTAGCCATTTGGCAAGAGCACTCACAGATGTCTTCAGAATTCCAAATGTGGCCATCAGCCCCCAAAGTTGGAGAATCTGGGCAACAGCAATGACTAACTTCTAATATTCTGTATTAATATGCATTTGCTGGTTCTTATTTATATCTAACTATTTTCTGCAGATCATGCTAACATCTTTTCTGGCTAAACACAGGAAGCATATGTTGCCACAGTTGGATTGCCCAAATATACCTCTACTGACTTCACCAATGTTAAAAGTAACAGGAAATAATCAAAATTATTCCGCTAAGAATAATTATTCTGCTAGATATTATGTAGGACAGCTGGGCAGAATTAACCTTTCATACACTATGAAAGAAATCTACTTACCGTTTATTTGCTACAAATAAGACTTCCCCTGAAAGTGTTTCCCCTTCTTTGGCAAAGAGAGGAGTTTGAAAAAGGCAGCGCACTTGATACCAATGTGTCAAAGGCTCTGTTGGAGCAGTTGAGAGCCAAACCGTTACCCTTAAAATGAGAAATTAGATAAATGTGAAGCATCAAAGAAGCTAAGGTTGCGGTAAAGCAATTTCCTGAATGTTCAAGAGTAAGACAGTGGCACAGTTCCTACGTTACTATTCTCGGAATAGAAGAAGCTTCTATTTAATAGACAGAGTTATAGCTCCCAGGAGTTCTTCCCTCAGCAGAAGACTTCTTTTGTGAGTGCAATTCTCTTTCAATTCATAGAAGAAAACTTTCTAGTCATTATATAATGTCTAAGGAACTAAAGAATATAGTCAAACCTAAATCCAATAAATAAAAAGATGAAGCACTATAAATAAAGCAATGATTTTGAGAGAGAGGAATGGAAAACACACCATAGAAGTCAATGCTACTCCACCAAAGTTATGGCTGTTAGGACCATAGCCTCAAACACAATATAATGATTAAGCTTTCTGGTTTGCTTTAAGACAAACACTAAAGGAAATAAATACTCTTGCACCTTAGCCATACTTCTGTGTTTACTATATTCAAGATTAAGGAAACTCACTACTTGATGTTCCTAAGCTAAATTATCCAAAACAGAAGAATCAGTGCTTTGGATTCAGGAGGTAGCATTCTTGATAGAGCTACATACCCACTGAAGGATCAGGTTTGCAAACTAGCTTCTTGAGACCTAAACAACTCGTTGGCTCATATTTGCTGAAGTTGATGTACAGCTATAATTCCTCCTGGACTGAGCTACAGTTATCCTGTCTTGCTAATTAATGTTGTGCTATTATATGGGGAAGCCTTCTTGGAAACTTTAGTTTAGAACACAGTACTAGGCTGCTAATTGGTGCAAATCCTAGAGAATGTATTTTTATTGTTCTTTGAAATAAATTTGCTGACTGTTCTTCTGTTGCAAATCACAATTCAAACTGCTGATGCTTACTTTTAAAACTCTACATAGTTTGGGATACTGGTATTTGATATGTCTTTTTCAACATATTATTATCCATGCAATAAAGTCATAGCTGAAGGCTATGATATGATTGATTCTCCCTTCTGGAATAAAGTGGGTGATAATTGGGAAGAGATTCATATTATAGCAAAACAATTCTAAGATGCTTTCCAGAACGGTGCATTTTTCTGTACCTTGGGCATAAAGTCTTTATTAAGATGATTTTATTTTATTCTGATGCAATTTCTTTGTACATTTTATTCCTTTTCAACATATTCTTTTAATTGTCCTTGTCCACTTGATGGCCTGCTTGAAAGACTATGCATGATGAATCAGATGTAATGAAAAGAAGAAAAACATGTACACTGAAGTTATTTAGTGCTACTAGGAATGAGAAACATAATCTAAGATGAGAAAGTAGCTTTAGAGTCTGGTAGCACATTTAAGGTTAACCAACTTCATTGGGGTATAAGCTTCTAACGAAGTACAGATAGTCCTCGACTTACGACCACAATAGGGACTTGAAAATTCATTGTTAAGTGGTGTGGTTGTTAAGTGAGTTACGTGATCATGCCCAATTTAATGATATTTTTGTTGTGGTTGTTAAATGAATCACAGTCGTTAAGTGAATCATGTGGTCACAAAGCAAGTCATGCAGTTGTTAAGTGAATCATGCAGTTCCCCATTGAATTTGCTTGTCATAAGCCAGTTGGGAAGGTCACAAATGGTGATCATGTGACCCTGGGACACTGCAACCATTGTAAATACATGCCGGTTGCCAAGTGCCCAAATTTTGATCACATGATTGTGGGGACACAGCAATAGTCTTAGGTGCGAGGACCAGTTGTAGGTCACTTTTTTCAGCACCATTGTAACTTTGAACAGTCGCTAAACAAATGGTTGTAAGTTGAGGACTACCTGTAAGATGTTGCTTACAAAAGCTGATGCCCCTTTAATGTTGCTCAGTCCTGAAGGTGCACTGAGATTCCTTGTCTATTTTATTGCCACTGACTGTGGCAGCGCTTGCCCTCCCTCACATCTGTTTTGTACGTGCTGATCTCTGGGATGATATCCTAGATCCATTCAGGACCTGATTTGTTTTTGATTCACCACATTATCTGAAACAGACTCAGTATTTATTTTTGATGTGGCCAACTCAATGTTGAAAAGGAGAAAAAATACGTACAGTGAGCCAACGAATGCCACGTCAAACCAAAATGCCAAGCCGTGAATTAATCCAGATTGCATCATTTGGAATACAAAAGGGATTTCCACTCTATAGAAGGAAATTTTAAAAAAATTAATAACATTATTAGAAAACCACAATTAAAATATGAAAGTTCATGATGATTGGCATCCTTAAAAAAACATTTTACTAGAAATCAAATTAAATGGGTTTTCATCCAAGGAAGTATATCTAAAATAACAACATTTCTGGATGAAATATTTACTGAGCATATTTACTGAGTTCAACGTCATGTAGTCCTTAATAAAAAATGACTGCAGCCCAAAGGCAAGGAAAATTAATTTATTTAAATTGTAGGCCATCAATATTCACAGATAAAACATTTACTAAGTTCATTAATACTCTCACTGCAAGCTTGGCAGACCAAACTCTGTGTTTCAAGAACACATCTTAGATGTAACATCAGCATGCAATGAGTGACTAACAACCATTTTTATCCAATTATCTAAGACTTACCTAAATTGGATGGCAAACTATAAACTGCATTACAGACAATGCACATGGGATGGAACAGTTTATACTAAATTATGTTCTACTCTCAATACTATGGTTATTTTAGTAGAGCACACTATACTAGGATAAAAAACTACATATTTTGAGTGTTTCCCACTCAACATGCCGTACAGTGACTAGCTTGCTAATAAATTGAAAACTATACCAAAAAATAGTGGTTTAAAATGGAACAGTGTGATATGGAAAAATAGACTCTTACCTATGCAAATCTTCCTCTTCTGCTTCTATAAAACTAACAGTGTATTTCACTGTCCGGGCCATCAAAATTCTAATGTCAAATGTGTCCTGCAAATAAAAATGGAAAAGAAAAAACATGTATCATCATCTAGAGTAGGTCCTACAACTTCCATATGAAATTTCAATGTTAAATACAAAAATAAATCAATCAATCAAACAGCTGAAATCTTGTGTAATCACAGCTTGTGAAACATCAGTGTTCTCACATGACTTTTTGTAAGATTTTAAGATAGAATCTCAAGGTTTTATGAGATATCTGTATTTGCATGTGAGATTTTTACATCCTCTAATGGGACTAGGCAACATCTTAGTGGGTATGCATATGTGTAAGAAACAGAAACTGGCAGTAAGCTTAAGAATTCCTTCCTTGTGTATATGACCAATCCATATTTGCAATAAAGCAGCCAAAATAAATGTTAAGTCTCCTTCAAATCAAACTCAAGTCCTGTTTTCTTCTTTGGTAAGTCCATTCTGTTTTCTTAGCAGTAGCATGGAAGTGATTTATTACTGCCACTTTCTAGATTTTTTTTTGACGATCCAGTCTAGCCTACAGCCCTGATACTTCCTAGTAATCCTTCTTCCAGGTAATAACCCATTCAAGTAATTATCAAGCCTGCTAAGCTTTGAGACCAGTCAAGGTAATTTGAGGTACAAAGAAGGGAAAACCTATTTATTACTGTATAATGGCACATTGTAGAGAAAAAATTGCAGCTTCAGAGCTCCAGACAGTCCTAAATAATTCCACCTGATTTTTTTCCCCTGTTTTTGGAAAAAATTATTGTAAATAAAGAATATAAATGTTCATAAATTAACCTGTTTTGTCTTACACTTAAAAACAAAAATTTAATTTTTCATAAACAACATATTCTACATATGCTACCTTTCTTCCTACACAAATAAAACCCTCTGAATTCATTTCAACCATAAATTACAGACTCTTCATTACTTTTGAGCAGATTATCCTAAATTATAACTTTTTAAAAACCTATTAGCAATATTTGTCAATGATGACCATTTTCAAACAATCAAATAACATGTACTACTCTCACTGTTATCCGTGCCTGTGCAAAAATTCAACAAAGAAGCTGAAAGATTTTGGGGTTCTTCTGTTTATAACATAATTTCCAGGCCCCTTTTCTCCTTTTTATAAACAAATTCGTATGTTACATGTTGATCCTTTAATGCTGCCTTATATATTTTCAATAGTTTAGCATAATTAAATGAATCAATTTAAAAATGGGTAATTCTGATGCTCATTTCTATGCATTTTTAAAAAGAACTGTCAATGCTCTACTTCAAGATACATTTATACACCCAGAAATGGATGTTAAGTAGCAGCCTAACCATTTTGCTTTTTTTCATGTCAGTACAACCTAAATTATTTCACCCTAAATTATTTCATTAAGGGGGAGATAAAATAATTTTTCTCTTGCAACTGGAAAAGCAGTTTGGAGACACTGATTTTAACTAGAAAAATAGCAACAGGACATGAGCTAAACAACTGCTCATGGGATACCATTTCTTTTCTTATTTTGGATATTTTGGGTTGGAAATACAGGTGGTCCTCAGGTTACAACAGTAATTGGGACTGGAATTTCCACTGCTAAGCAACACAGTCATAAAGCGCGATGTCACATGACTGCATCGCTTAATAATGGCAATCCTGGCACTCCCTGTTGCCATCATGGGTCATTAAGCAAGGACCTCCTTGCAAGTTCCTTCCAGTTTCCAACAAGTAAAGTCAATGGGGAAATTGGCAGGAAGTTGCAAATCCCAGGCAGTTTGCAAGCAGGCTAGCGAGCAGATAAGTGGCTGCTGCTGGGTGTGGGAGGGTGCATGAGAGTGCACAAGTGGCCACTGAGGTACGGGCGAGCATGGTGGGCCAGGAGTGGCTGCTGCTGGCTGCATAGGTGGCTGTCAAGGTGTGGCACACATGCAGCAGGACCGGAAGTGGCTGCTGCCAGGTTGGGGAGGGTATGCAGGTGGGCGCTGTGAGTGGGAGTGCTGCAGGCACACGTGCACGCTATGGTGTATGAGATCCCCAGGATCTTGTGCTCCATAGCTAGGCTTCTTGGGGGAAAAGGCTGCAGGAGTGCAAGCAAGTTACCAGAAAGATTTGCGACCTTCCCTGCCAGCTTCCCCCTTGACTTTGTTTGTGGGCATCTGGCAGGAAAGGTTTCAAATGGTGATCACATGACGGGCGATGTTGCAACTGTCATAAGTGCAAGTCAGGTGACAAGCACCTGGATCACAATCACATGACTGTGGGGTGCTGGGATGGCCAGAACTTTGAGGACCACTCGTAAGTACCACTCATTCAGCGCCATTGTAACTTCAAACGATTGTTGAACAAGTGGTTGTTAATCAAGGACTACCTAGAAAAGGAAAAAAGGAAAAACAGGAAGGACAGAATTGTAGAGTTCCATATTAATGTGTAACGTAAGTCTCAGACTGGATATTATAGGCTAACTTTAATAAGCTATAAAATGGCAAAATGTGGCTTGAGAGGAACCTATGCCAAGATGAGGACAATCAATTAGAGAGAACCTTGAAAAAAATGTGTTGTCAAACTGACTCTTCTTGAAGGACAATAGAGGATATGTTTTGACAGATCTCAAGAGCCCCCAGATGGGAAAAATGGCTGCCTCTGGAACATAATGCAAAAGAAAGGCAAAGTACAAAGAAAGAAAAAGAGCAATTAAAAATAACTTACTACAATGGGCTGTCTGAAGTACTCATCTACTGCTGCATTACGGAGACTGGACAGATTTACCCCATAAAAACACTGCTGATACCTGGAAGGAATAATGTATTTGTTTTGCTTTTTAAAGTAAATTCAGAGAAAAAAGTCTTATGGACCTCACATAATAATGCCAATTCCATGTGTATTATTGAAAAACAAAGACACACACAAAAACACAAAACAAGAAGACTGCCCAAAGCATTTTTAATTGTAAAAATACATATTCTGACTCAGTGTAATAGTTTATTGGTAATTGCTTAATAGAGCAATTAACTCTGCAAAAGATTCCAGAGCCCTAAGCAATTTGGTAAAAAATAAATTTTAAAAGAATTAATGGTCACAATTCAGGTACAACATTAAGTTGTAATACTGATGTGTTAGATACTCTCCTTAAACCTTGGACTGATATCCAGAAGCTGGCTTTTACAACCACACCATGCATGAAATCTGGCTATGGATTTCACAGGTGCTTTTTCAGAGGAAAATAATATTTTTAAAGGCAAAACAGAGCTCTCTAAGTAGAGAGGCAGCAAAACTACTAGCAAGGATATTCTGGCCCTTGAAATAGGTATTAAGCACCAATTTAGGGAGGACTGCAAGTAGGCAAGAGAAACTCCAGACTTGAACCAAATCAATATCCTCCTATATTAGAACCATACGTAAGCTTTAAGATGAAAAGGAATGGCCAAGAAAAGACTATTAGTAGGAAGGACTTATCAAGCAAAAGCAACAAGTACCTGGACATAATGAAAACTCAGGGTTTTGAACAAAGGCTGTGCTCCACGTGGGTCTCATTAAAGAAAACATTAGTGGTGGTAGCGGTGATGGTGGTGGTGGATATTTGGGCTCACACAAAGAATTGTGTCACAGGATTCTTAATCCTGGTCTAAGGGCAAAAAAAGTAATTGTAGACTTGTGACTGATGCCACTCTGAACTTTGCTATCCATTAGAAGGGTGATAGCATTTTGTAAATGGGTTATTTTCCTTACTAGAACTCTATATTGGATAATTAAATAGCAGCATATTGATTTGTAATTAGATATGTAATATAACATCCTACTATCTCAGGATTTTTAATTTAATTAACAAAATAATGTGTATGCCTCTTAATTCAATTCATATACAAGGTACATGATGAAAAGAACAAGCAAATGTTTTTATTTGGGGCAGTGCTACACATTTTCCATTTGGACACTCTTTTCTGAACAAAAATGGAGATTAAATGGATATCCAGAGCCATGGTTTTGGGGAGTATCTTAAGCAAACATAAAATAGAAAACTACAGAAGCTAGCACAGATCTCCTTTTTGACAACTAGTGCATTTAATAAGCAAGAAATATGTGAACCTCAACAGCTGTGCCTTTATTCAGCCAGAATCCAAAAGAACCTGGATCCAGGTGGTGTGAGTGGAGGGTGTTACTGTATGATAATTGCATATTAATTTGAACAGCCTTTTCCAAGCTGCTTGTCTGCAAGGGATGATGAAAATAGTAGACCAACACATCTGGAGGATACCAAGTTAGGCAAGAGTGAATTAAAAACTTCTTCAACCATGTCTAGCATGCTTATTTTGTCAATTTAAGGTCCTACTTTTTCTCTTTCAAATTCTTACTGTACAACTTCACAGAGTTTGGTAACTTTATCTTTATTCTCACATGCCAAATTTTAGTACCACATAAAGCATTTCTGCAACTACTAAAGCTTATGCAGAATTGCTTTCCAGGGTTGGGTGCAGCAAAATCCAATATTCAGAAGTTTCACAATTTCATCAAGCCATCATCTGATGCTCAACAATTTTAACAACAACAGCAAGAAGAGAACCAATTAAACTGGAAAATGACTGGTGACTGTGAGAGAAAGAAGGTATACATTCACAGAAGCAAATGCAACCCCAAGGAATGTCTGCCAAAAACATACTTCGCAACACAATGAGAACTACTGCTATACAAATAATTTTGAACCACACACTTAGCCTTGCACAGTTAAATGGAAAATAATTAAAGAGGAATTAGTTCTTCTATAAGGATCCAAATTTAAGATAAAAAAATAAAGATCAACTTATTATTCCAGAGTCAGAATAACCTTATTGCTTTCAAAGATACTTTAATAATACATGAAGTAAATAAAACTAAAGTCAGATAACATAGTAAGCACAATACATAAGATGTGCAGGCTTTTTCCAACACAAAAATTACATCTAGGCAAGAAAACAAAACAGCCTGTAGAACTAGTTTATGTTTCCTGCCTTAAAAAAAAAAAAGGAAAGGTCACAACTTATTTACTGTTACAAGAGAATTGTAAATACTTAGGTGTATGTTTTAGAAGGTATAACTTCTAAAGGTATAATTTCTGGTTAAATAATCCAAACTGGTTACTATAAATCTGAACTGGTAAATAAAACAATGAATTAAACTGAGATGTGGAGATTTCAAGTAGCACAAGCAAACTACTGTAAAAAAATTTAGCAGAAGTATTCACTTATTTCATCAAAATACTAGTTTCTCTTAAACTTCATAGAAATATACTTTATATAAGCTTCGGTGCAATCACTGAGTTTCACCTAGTTTATACATCACAGCCTTGTTTGCATGCATTTTCAGACCATGCTTAAATTACTGCAAGTGTTTTGTTCTACTTGTGGTGGTAAAAGGTACCCCCCCAATACATGTGAATTGCATTCACTACCAAACCTGAGGTGCCCCCCCTCCCCAAATACATGTGAACTGCTTAAAGTGCCCTTGCAAGAAAACATTTACAGAAAGCTGAATTGACCCTGAATGGCGACAGGGAGAAGAATCAGACAGGAAGTAATAGCCCAGTAAACCAAATTGTTTACATTCACTGACCATACCTCAGATAATATGGCTAGCATGCCAACCTAATAGGAAAGGATAAATAATAAGATCACACAGATAGGTTTATCAAGAACATTCCATGCTGTAATTTACACTGTGTCTGTCTTATTCACTGTCTTGTCTTTGTAATGTAGTAGACCAAAAGTATATAAACTGTGGTTCTACTTTTGCTCAGGGCTGCTCAGCAAGCTGCCCCTGCTTTGCTCGGAGCCCAGGATACACTGTATCTGCATGCATGCTAATAAATTTATCTTGTATCTTCAAAGGTATTTGGTTGTTTTAGGAGTCAGGTTTTGGCCACAACATACCATATCTGTTCTTCAAAATACTTCAGAATGGCCATATTAGATCTGATATTCTAAATGACTTGTGATGAAAAAGTGTCACCAAATTAAAAAAAAAAATACAGTGGTTGATGTCTGATTTTTCTGAACAGGACATGTGAGAACTAATAAATATTTTAAATCCTATAATATGCTGTTTACAAATTGTGTTCTTACACCAATGCAGTAAGGAGATATAATTCTAGTGATTAAAACACTCCAAAAGAATATTCTGAACCAATTTTAAAGGATCAGATGATAATCTTAAAACTAAACATTTATATTTATATATTTCAGCCAAAAGCCTAGAGGTATCCGTTAAAATCTTCAAATTGAACTTGTGATTTCATGGATGTTTCAATGCCATTTTCTTGGCAAAAGTATGGAAGTAGTTTGACATTACCTTCTTCCAGAATGTTTTCTGAAATTCTCAGTCCAACCTATAACCCTGGATTTCCCACATAGTCTCACATCCAAGTATTAACCAAAGACAACCCTGTTTAGCTCTCTAGACTAGCCAAAGTCTTTGTAAAATATCATTGTGTGCACAATACAACCTGGGTGGGGCCGAGACTAAAGAACTACTACTATTGCAAAAAATACAGGACGGTATACCAGCTCCCCACACATCCTCAGAAATTCCAAAAGATCTTTCAGATGATCAGCCTTTCAGCCTACCAATAATTCCCAATCAGTTTAAAATGCACCCAAGATTGATCCAGGCTGTTTGCAGATCTATTTAGGCATGATGACACTATGAGTATGGTCACACCCCTATATTTGCAAGTACAGAAATCAGAGAACTGTCAGCTAATTAGTTCTTCACTTTTCTGACTAATAACTGAGCATAGTGAGAACAACTGCCCCTTGAAAGACAAGGCAATACAGTAATACACTGAAATTTCTGAAGCTGCGTTTGCTGAAATGGCATTTCTCCCTCCAAGGTTAAAAAGGCTGTGGCATATAAATATATTGTAATTGCTATCCCCTGATGGTGATATCATACAACTGGGTAGGAGGGGGTTGTGGCCATGTCTGCTCTAGTTCTGGACTGTACAACCATCTGAAAGACCACCAAGATGGTAAGAGTAAAGTGTCTATATACTTTCCCCAAGTACATATCTCCATTCTATAACCCTGTTCTTAGTTTTTTCCCATTTTGTCACCAAGCCTATGTATCTCAAGCTGTGAAATACTCTCTAAAGGGAGTTCAGCTTGGCAAGCTCATTATTCTTTCAATTCCATATAATTACATTTTTATTTTCCTGCAAAGAGTTTAACCATGGGACTGTTATCTATTTTATTATTTTGCAACTTTTAGTTTAGTTTTTTATATTTATACTTAATTATTTAATTATATTTGTAAAAGAGCCCACATCAGGAGGCTACATCTTGTGAGAGCAATGTAATAAATGGGCAAGCATGCGTGTCTGTGTGTACATACCTAAGTAAATTAGACTGCATACACTATCTGTGTACATCTGTGACAAATATAAATTTATGTTTGCAAATGAAAGTGCATAATTATTATAAGTATATTTGTGCATGCAGTAAGAGAGAGAAAACTTAAAGGTAAGTGCAAAGAGAAGATGCTATAAATAATTTTCTCTACACATCATAAATTATCATGGGGTCCTTAATTACATCTTTTTAATGAGCTGCTAAGTGACTCCTAAAGTAAACAAGTGCCTAACAAAATCCATCTTAAAATGCACTGCAGACATCTGTCTGTGTATTAATAAAAAGAACACTGAATAATTAAGGGGAATTTAGAGAGTCTTGTTGAGATTCCCAGTTTGGAATAAATTATCTTGCAGGTGTTTCAGTACTTCTATAAATATTTTGTGTAAGTGTATATGGATGGCTTTCTATA